GGACCTCTTTATCATGCTACGGTAGGTATACGATGACAAGCCAGTTCGCTTAGGAGGTTATGCGACAGAAACTGTTTACGAATATCATGCTTTGAACATCGCTATCACAAGTAACACTCGATTACTACCCCCTTCTTCTTCTGACTCCCCAATACGACCCCAGATGTGGCGTGCCACACCCCACGTTTGACCCTGGTTATAAGGCTATAGACTGGACGGTATTTATTTATCCCTACTAAAACCTTACAGTTATTGTTTCGCCTTATTCTATCATGTAAAAATAATCACACCTTCCTTTCTTATGGTTAGTTTAAGACCTAGATTTTTGAATGACATGAATTCGAGTTGTCCTCCTTCTTCCATGGCTTTCAAATTTTATTCATTGTTTTCATTGCATGAATCAATTTTTCCGATTCTACACTTGACACACTTCAAGTATAAGAATCATGTCCCGTAAGTACTAGCCAGTTTTCGAAGTTGTCAGCAAAGAGTATAGCATATGATTACAAAAGCGTATGTATGTCGCCAGAGCTATTCCTTATAATCACACGAATCCGAATGAGGATTCGGATTCGTGTGATTATAAGGAGAGAGACTAAGACTAATAAATGGCTCAACTATTGATCCATGTGTTTGTTGAAAGTGAAACATTTATTCTATAGACCTAGCAAAAGACAAAAACCAAGCAAAAAACATACGCAAAGAATGCATTTCATTAACACAATGGACTATAGGTACATGCACAATTACTACCAGATTTTGACCCAGTTTTGAACACAACAATATTTGAGGGGGACTGTGCGAAGATAAACAAATCTTCATTCGAACGAGAGCGCATACCGGGTGAGACGAATGCGATTAGTTGCTGTACAGTTAACGTTAGACAAAAGTAATCAGACATTTTGTACATCTGTGAGGAACGAGACTCATCATGCAATATGAGGAAAAAGACAAAAAAGGATTTTCTCATCAAAGACTGCTATAATTTGCGTTTTAGAGATTCTCTAACTTGCTGTAAATTGCAACTGATAAGATATTCTCTTCTCTTCAGAGCTATTTTGAATCTACCTTAGATTATTTTAGGTCCAGAATCCCTTCGCTTATTGATCTCGTCGTCGATCGAGTCAAACTGATAGCTGGCTCTACGGTCCATGATTGTAGTGACGAAGCTATTTATGGTCTGAGTGCTTCCTAAAGGGCTTTCGATGATTGATTTGGCACAAATTTGTAATGAAAACTTACCATTATTATGTAAACAAGTGGAATCTACGATCGGATAATTGTCGAAGAAAATGGATTGCGATGGCCGCAGCAAATATGTGGCGATGGCTGATAATGTCATCATCTCCCAGGTTAGCATGAACGATGCCCAAACTATAGTAAAATTTTGAGAAAAAATTCTGAAAAATCTATGAGCATAGACTAACACTGCGCCTTCGCCGCTGCAGTCAGCAAACGGTCGGGTGAAATGATTCCAAAACAAGCAGCAAAATCAAAGCAGAATTTTTGAATGGTGTACAAACACTGTGCGATGTCAACCATGGTGAACAGCTGTATAAACCGATACGGAGCAACTTTGTCCTAAAAAAAGATCAAAAATTTTGACGGTTCTTAACTTCCTTGAATGTTTCATACGAGGCTGAGAGAGACAGAAAAAAAAAAGAAAAGAGGGGAAGATGCGTGTGTGGATGTCTCATACCTCGCTTTATTCAAAGAGATGATATATGAACAAAATGCTTTAACCTCACCTTCCCCAGTGGTACCATCACATAGCAACCATAAAACGCTACACACATTGAGATCAAAC